TGTACATGTATAGTTACAGTTACACTTATATGTACAGTTACACTTCACTACATTACAACGCAACTACGGGCATATATATAAACACATAAATAAATAAATAAATACATAAATGCATACATGCATACATACGTACGCTTGGATGTACGTAAATGCATACAGAAACATATAGTATATGTATACCCATACATACACACTTGCACACATACATACGTACACATATACACACATACATACCTGTATACGTGCATATATACATACATACATACATGCATGCATACATTCATGCATGCATGCATACATACATGCATGCATACATGCATGCATACATACACGCATACATACGTACATACATACAGACACATACATGCACGCATACAGACATGCACGCATACATGCATACATACATGCATGCATGCATGCACGCACGCACACACACATCCATGCATGCATGCATACGTACATATATATATATATACACACATCGCTATATCATAATGACGGGCCGAACGGTCATTCCTAGTCCCTTGGCGCGTGGTTGAAACGAAGTTTCACGGTGCGGATTGTTGTTTTGTTGTTCATGTTGCGTTGTTGCGTTGTTGATGTCGTCCTCGCCCGCGACCCGCCCGTGACCCACCCCGCGACCCAACACGCGGCTCACCAACGACCCACGCCTCGATCAACCCCGCGACGCACCCGCGACCCACCCGCGACCAACCATCAATGCTTTGACGAGAATTCGGCGCCTGCGGCCGGCACGTGGTGCAACGTGTTCAAAATCGGCGCCTGCGGCGGGCTTCTCCAAAGCCTCGCAGACTGCCGACAACCCCCCCGCCGCCTCACTCTGATCCGCAACTGCGGGGGGCCACGAACTTAAGTGAGGGGGCCGAACGGTCATTCACTGTCCCTGGGCGCGTGGCTCAAGTGAGATTCCGCGGTGCCAATTGTTTGTTGTTGTTGTTGGTGTTGCTGTTGTTATTGCGTTGTTGCGTTGTTGCTGTCGTCGTCCTCGCCCGCGACCCGCCCGTGACCCACCCCGCGACCCACCTGCGACCCACCCCGCGACCCACCCCGCGACCCACCCGCGACCCACCCGCTACCCACCCGCGACCCACCCACAATGCTTTGACGAAAATGCGGCGCCGGTAGCGGGTTCGTGGCGCAATGTGTTCGAAAATCGGTGCCTGCGGCGGGCTTTCTTCAGAGCCTCGCAGAATGCCGACGGCCCCGCCGCCCCAACTGCGGGGCACTACGTGTGCATATCGATACACATATATATATATGTATATATATATATATATTATATATAATATATATATATATATCCATATAAGTTATATACATATAAGTTCCCCAATCAGAGCTTGCCTCTGTAGGGGTCCAAGCGGATTCATATGGTTAGGTTCCCCAATCAGAGCTTGCCTCTGTAGGAGTCCTAGCGGATGCATATGGTCAGGTTAGGTTTGCCGCCGATTTTCGCTGTACGCCCGGGTGCCAGGGTGCCCGGGTGCCCGGGGGTGCCCGGAGGTGCCCAGGAGTGCCCGGAGGTGCCCCGGGGTGCCCGGGTGCCCCGGGGTGCCCGGGTGCTCTATCGCCCTATAGCCCTATAGCTCTATAGCCCTATATCCCTGTAGACCTGTAGACCTATAGCCGTATAGCCCTATAGCCCTATAGCCCTACAGGCCTAGTAGCCCTATAGCCCTATAGCCCTATAGCTCTATAGCCCTATAGCCCTATAGTCCTTATGCCCAATAGCCCAATCGCCCTATAGTCCTATAACCCTATAGCCCTTATAGGCCTATAGCCCTATAGCCTTATTGCCTTGTAGCCCTGTAGCCCTATGTTCCTATAGACCTATAGCCCTATAGTCCTATAGCCCTAGCCCTATGCTCCTATAACCGTATAGCCCCATAGCCCTACAGCCCTAAAAATTATTCCCCAATCAGAGCTTGCCTCTGTAGGGGTCCTAGCGGATATAAAGCTGAGGTGAGGTGAGCGGCCGATTTCGGTGGCCAGGGCCGGGTGCCCGGGTGCCCGGGGGTTCCCGGGGGTGCCCGGGTGCCCAGGTGCGTGGCCGATTTCGGTGGCCGGGGCCGGGTGCCCGGGTGCCCGGGGGTGCCCGGGGGTGCCCGGGGGTGCCCAGGTGCCCAGGGGTGCCTGGGGTGCCCAGAAGTGCCCGGGGGTGCCTAGCCCAATAGCCCTATATCCCTATAGCCCAATAGCCCAATCGCCATATATCCCTATAGCACTATAACCCTATAGCCCTATAGCCGTACCTATACGACCACCCTTCGGGTGATAAGGAGGTTCGGGGGGGGGAACCAACGTCTCACTCGATCGGTCTCACTATCGATCTCAGTATCGATCTCACTATCGGTCTCGCTCGATCGATCTCACTCGATCGATCTCACAATCAATCTCACTCGATCTATCTCATTCGATCGATCTCACAATTGATCTCACAATCGATCTCACAATCGATCACACAATCGATCTCACATTCGGTCTCAATACCGATCTCAGTATCGATATCACAATCGCTCTCACAATCAACGTCATCATCATCATCATCATCATCATCATCAACAACATCATCAACATCAACATCATCACCGACATCGTCACCATCATGAGGGCACCGTCATCATCATCATCATCATCATCATCATCATCACCATCATCATCATAATCATCATCATCATCATCATCATCATCATCATCATCATAAACATCATCATCATCAGCATCAGCATCATCATCGGGACAACATCATCACCATCATCATCATCACCATCATCATCTCATCATCAACATCATCATCATCACCATCATCATCATCATCATCATCATCATCATCATCATCGGGACACAGTCATCGTCATCACCATCAGCAGCATCATCAGAATCATCATCAGAATCGGGACACCATCACGATCACCATCGTTCTCATCATCAACATTATCATCAACATCGTCATCATCCTCGGGACACCATCATCATCAGGACCATCGCATCATCATCATCGACATCATCATCATCAGCAACATCATCATCATTGGGGCACCAAGAATCATCATGAGCACCATCATCATCAACATCGTCATTATCATTATTGTCATCATCGGGACACCATCAGCATCACCATCATCATCATCACCATCATCATCATCAGCATCATCATCGGGACACCATAATCATCATCAACATCATCATCAACATAATTATCGCTGGGACACCATTTCCATCAACATCATCATCACCAACATCATCGGAATCAGCATCATCATCATCAGCATCATCATCATCATCGGGACACCATCATCGTCATCATCATCAACATAATCATCACGAGCATCATCATCCTCATCATCGGGACACTATCATCATCATCATCGACACCATCATCAACATCATCATCTTCATCGGGACACCATCATCATCATCATCTCATCATCATGATCATCATCATCATCATCATCATCATCATCATCATCATCACCATCATCATCTCATCATCATCATCATCCTCGCGGGACACCGCGGGACACTGGCGGGACACCGCGGGACACCGCGGGACACCGCGGGACACCGCGGGACACCGGCGGGACACCGCGGGGCCCCGCGCCCCGGATGAGAAACATTTGGTCCGGCCGCGCCTCAGCCACAGGAGGACACCGCGGGACACCGGCGGGACACCGCGGGGCCCCGCGCCCCGGAAGAGAAACATTTTGTCCGGCCGCGCCTCAGCCACGGGAGACTTTTTCTCGCCCGCCCACGCAGCTTCGCCTCGCACGCCCGGCACGCACGAACACGAAACCGAAACCGATTTCCCGGTGGGGGGCTCGCCGTTCCACTTCGATCTCACCCCCTCACCTCCGATAGCCCTATAGCCCAATAGCCCAATAGCCCAATAGCCCCATAGCCCCATCGCCCCATAGCCCTATAGCCCTATAGCCCTATAGCCCTATAGCCCTATAGCCCTATAGCCCTATAGCCCTATGGTCCTAAAGCCCTATAGCCGTATATAGCCCTATAGTAGCCCGAATAGCCTTGTAGCCCTTAGCCCTATAGCCCTATAGCCCTGTAGCCCTATAGCCCCATAGCCCTAAAGGCTTCTAGCCCTATATCCCTATGGCCACCTCGCCCTATAGCCCTATAGCCCCATAGCCCTGAAGCCCTAAAGCCCCATAGCCCCCCAAAAATTCGGATTGGGGTTTTTCTCTGGTATCATGATTCGGGGATTTTCTCCGGAATCATTAGGTTTGCCCTCGATTTTCGCCGCACGCCCGGGTGCCCGGGTGCCTGGGGTTGCCCGGGTGCCCGGGTGCCCGGGTGCCCGGGTGCCCAGGCGTGCCCGGGGGGGCCCGGGTGCCAGGGGGGGCCCTATAGCCCTACAGCCCTATAGCCCTATAGCCCAATAGCCCTATAGCCCTATAGCCCTATAGCCCTATAGCCTAGAGCTCTATAGCTCTATAGCCCTATAACCCTATAGCTCTATAGCCCTATAGCCCTATAGCCGTATAGCCCTATAGCTCTATAGCCCTATACCCTTATACCCTCTAGCCCTATTGCCCTGTAGCCCTGTAGCTCTATTACCCTATAGCCCAATAGCCCTCATAGCCCATATAGCCATGTAGCCCTACAGCCCTAAAAAGATTATGATTTGGGCTTTTCTTCGGTATCCTATATACACTATATGTTATGTATAGTTTGGTCCCAGTCCGCCCAGGCATATGAGAATCTAGACATCAATTGATCTATACAGTTTCTAGCGCGCACCTTGCGCCCGAATGAAACCCGCAAGAGACAAACCTTGGCGCCACTGCGCACGTCGCATTGATCAGCCATGGCTGCTTGCACCAGCTGCGGACGGCGTGGGGGCCCGCCGAGTTCGACGGGATGATTGCTGCTGGGATCCTCCATCACCTATGACCCCCGTCCCTCGCCCTTGCTTCCACTGCATACTTCCTCGCACCCTAAAAAGAAAGAAAGTAAACTGTCACTTGTTTCTCTTCAGGCTAATCGAGAGGTCGGGATCGTTCTCAGTGCCGATGGCGCGCACCGGGCTGGGGTTGCTGGGAGCTTGTTTACTGCGAGTGAAAATGTCAGATACGAGATGCCAAAATAGGAATGAGTGGGGAATAGAATATACGGTTGATTGCGGCAATGTTCCCAAGGTGATGCTTCATGCGCCCTCAAAACAGGTATCCACCACCGTGCCTGCACGGAGTGGGCGTGTTAGAATGTTCGTCTGTTCTCTGGAAGGTTTCGAAAAGCTGAACGACTCCCCTTCTGAAATTGCTGTCTGCCGGTCTATTCGGGCTCCAGACGGCCAAGATGGTCTCCAAAACGGCTAGCAAGACAGCCAAGACAAAACAAAAAAGCTCAGCGTTGTCCAAGACAGCTCAAGAGCCTCTCAAGACAGCCTCAAAATGGCGCAAGATGGCCCAAGAGGGCCTCAAAACGGCCCAAGAAGCCCCCAAGACGGCCCGAGAGAACTCCAAGAGGCCGTCCTGGAGAGCCCGAGGGGGCCAAAGGCATAGATCCCCTAAAGTGTTCAAAAGATTTTGAGGTTCTTACCTGTTCGGGTTTCCGACCGCCCAAGACGGCCCAAGAGACTTCCAAGTGGCCCCAAGATAGCTCCAAGACAGCCCCAGAGGCCCCCGAGAGGGCCCGAACTCGGCCCAAGTGAACCCAACGATCGCCCAAGGGGCTCCCAAAGAAGGCCCCACGACTGCCTGGAAACACTCCAAAAGAGCAGCAAAACGACCCAGAGAGGCCTCTTGGGCTGTCTTGGGCGTTCGGAAACCCAACCGTGCCAAACCTCAGAATCTCTCAAAGGCATACTGACAATCAATGGTCTGGCCTCCTGGAGGGCCTCTTGGAGACCTCTTGGGCCGTCCTGGAGGCCTCTTGATCTGCCGTGAGGCCTTCTTTGGAGCCTCATGGCCCACAGGGCAGCTTCCAAGGCAGCCAAGACGACGCCACGACGGCCCAAGATGGCCCAAGGCGGCGCAAGAGGCTCCTAAGACAGCATCAAGACAGATCAAAAGCCCCCAAGACGGCCCTAGAGGTCTCCAAGAGGCCCTGCTGGAAAGCCCGAGGAGGCCGAAACCATCAAAATTTCAGATTTGTCTGAAAGATTTTGTGGTTCTCACCTGTTCGGTTTTCCGACCGCCCAAGACGTCCCAAAAAGCATCCAAGAGGCCTCCAAGATAGCTCCAAGGCGGCCGAAGAGGCCCCCAAGAGGGCCCGAAATCGGCCCAAGAGGACCCAAAGCTCGCCCAAGAGACCCCGACCCGAAAGGGCACCAACGCGGCCTAGAGAGGCCCCCAAGGCGGCCTCCATAGGCGTCAGACGGACCAAGAGTCCCCTAAGACGGCCCAAGAAGCCCCAAGAGGCCCACAAGAGGCCCCATGAGGCCCCCAAGAGGCCCTCAAGAATCTCCCGGGAGGCCCGCCGGAAGCCCCATTCAAGCTCCAACAAGTCTTCTCCTCCTCATCCTCATGATTTCCCCCTCCTCCTCATCCTCCTCCTCCTCCTCCTCCTCCTCCTCCTCCTCCTCCTCCTCCTCCTCCGTAACCGGTTTGGCTCAAGGCTGCCACTTGGGCTGCTTCGTGCGCGGATGAGGCGCGCTGCGAGGGCGTCGCCGAACAACCCGCCCTGGCAAACGCCGCTGTCGGCGGCCATGCAACTGAAGCCGCTCCAGCCGTGGACGGGGCCCTAGGCCAGGCCCCACGTCGAAGATGACCGCGGCGATCACGCCCCAGCCAGATGCCGCGGGCGCCGTGGACCGGGACTGCGCCCACCGGGCCAACGATCTTGAGCTCACGGCCCCTGGAGGCCCCCGCCGGCGCCGCGGCGGCTGCGGGGGCCGCGCCGCCCCCGCCAGCGCCCTGCCCCTCCCCCGGCGCCAGCGGCAGCAGGGAAGATTGGAGGTCGTCCGCGCCGGCGAGCCGCTGCGCGCGCAATTCCTCCAACTTGCGCGCCTCTTCGAGGACCAGGTCCTCGTCGCCAGCCTCCTCTGAGTCGCCCCCGCCGCCGTCGCCGCCGGAGAAGTCCGCGACCTTCCAGCCGGCGGCGAGGGCGAAGGCCTTTTTCGCCTGTGCCGCGGGCCGGGCGACCTCCCGCGGCGGGCCGCCCCCCTCGACCTCGTCGTCCTCGGGGCCAGGCTCGGGGGCCAACGCGTCGTCGGCCGCGAACCCGCCCTCCGAACCGTCGGCATCCGACGCCTCTTCGTCGCAGCACTTCGGCGCCGAGTCCGCCGGAAGGAAAAATTAGATGGTCTTCTTACTATAAAATAAAGCCTTTTGGGTCTTAAAAGAAAGCCCCCTCAGTCACAGGGCCCGTACTTTCTCGGCGCCTGGCCCGCGCTTGCCGCGGCCGCCGCGCCCCCCCCGCCTGCGCCGCCGCCACCGCCGCGCGAGCCCCTTCGCGCCATGCGGCCAGGGGCCGAGCCCCGCTGGCAGCTCGCGTTCAGTGGCGTCGCGGGGCAAGGACACGGCGCCAGGGCTCGAGCCACATATTGATACGCATGCGAAGAGACCCCACAACTGAAGCATATCAGTCCAGAAGGCAGGCAGTGGCAACTTGCGCGGCACAAATCAGTCCTGCGAGAGTGTGTTTCGCCTGCGCGCCAAAATATTTTGCCTGCCGCCTTCGGTTCGCCCAATATGTTGGAGAATAATAAGATGGCAATCCAACAATGCATTGAAGAACGACAGGACGATGGATATGTTTAAGCCCCAGGATCGTTGACCACGGCGATGCCGAACACATGCCACTTCAATTAAGTGTCTACTCATGTCTATATCCAAGGATGGGTACAGCTTTTCATAATCAAAGGTTGGAATGCGACTGCCGCTTTCCAAGTTGACTTTTTCGAGGGCGTCGACAGAGTCGAACGTGCTCGCGGCCACCGCGTCAGCCTCGTCGACGATGGGCTGGAGAAGCGCCGCGTTTTAGCATGCAGTAGGGTTTGTGACGAACGCGGTCGAGGCCGAGCTGCCACGAGCATCCGATCGAGGCTTGTGAAATTTGAAGAGCAATCTCGAGATCGGGCACCTCTAATTGTTGAGTTTGGAACGTGAGACGCAAACCCCGCAACCGCTGAGCAACCCATGGCCCTGCGCAACGGATATGGTTTGGAAGATTACGGGGTTGGCACCGTTAACGTCGATCGCAGCCGCGCAGACTTGCTGGAAGCTAGCTTGGAGCATTTGCAGTGTGCGAAGTCGCTGCGAAGAGCAACTGGAAGAATTGCTGTCCAAGGGTTTTTTGTCATGCGCATCCACGAATACATTGCGCCCAAATTCTGGCCCAAGAGATGATCAAGTTCAAGTTGCTTTCGAGCTGGACCGTTGGTCCTGGAACCTTTGCTCCAGGGAATGCTCCGCATGCGTCTTCCATAGCACTGTTGACGTCGAGCGTGCATCGTGGCGACATGGTGTTGGGAATCCTACTGAAGTATTCGACGACCCGTCGGTCGAAACCTTTTGAAATTGACCATTCCGAATGCAGACTCCTGTCGCGTTCGTCTCGGACTGCCTCCAGAACTCCAAAACTCTGGTGCAAACATGCTGTGAAGAACGCGCCCTGGCAATTTTGCAACGAATTCGAAACTACACGCCATAATGTGCGCTGCACAGTAGGCACTAGCTTGTCAGAGTTCCCACAAGAACCTCCACGGCCTTTGGGAGACGGACTGCGCAACGACTGCGCAATGGAGCTGCCCTCGAAGTGAGCGCAAAGAGGGATATCCAGAAGATCTTGGCCACAATGCAACGGTCAACACTGAAGTGCTCACAGTCGGGACGCGAATAGGAACGTCGAATACGCCTCTCACGACACACATGCTCCCGCTGCGACTCCCGAGCGATAGGGTGAGACTTCCACGGTGCTGCACGCTCCCGCTGGTGAAGTACAAGTGTTCTGTCAACCATCTGCTACCATATGCGCCACGTCTGCTACCATCCGCCACCCCTTCCGGCGCATCCGTCGCTGGCGTAGCCGTTCGTGGCTGTCTGTTGTTTCCGAACTGCTGAGGTGAATTTTCGGCGTGCTGCCCGAGGGCGGCGCCAGCCCGATCGCATGCTAGAAGACCACTCCGATGATGCAGACGCCGAGTTGTTTGATCGCTTCTGTTGACGACCATCGTCACATAGATTTGGATGTTTGGCTTGAGCGCTGCTTTGAAGATGTCCGAGGCGTAGAGCGGGACTGTGACCAGCCCCTGGCTGCTGATCCTGATTCCGAGCGAGCTCTGGTAAAAAGAACAGGCCCGAGGCTGGCGACAGAGCGGGCCGACTTGAACGAACTTCGGGACGAAGACCTGCTCTTCTGTACTGAACCACCACGGTGGAGAAGGCTTCGACAATGAGTGGCCGTTCCAGGCGCTGCTGCAGCCCAGCACCTTGCTGCAATGCCTGGAAACTTGTTGATGAATTGTTTAATAGTTGCACCTGCGAGAAACTGTACAAACAGTGTGGTGGCTAGTGGAGCTGAGTGTCTCTCTTCACGATCAGAGGCGTGGACAGGCTTCTCTGCGATCTTCTCGACCTCGAGCAACCCTGTCAGTATGATATCGTCCGTAGTGAGGCTGTGTAATATGCTTCGGCGTTAGCGGTCATCTCGACCAACCGGTTGCGCTTCTTCAGCTGCCAATTCAGCTTCGCTTCGCTGTTCGTGTATACTGTTTTCATTTCCATGTACGTGTCGCCGATCGCTGTTTGTTGGATCTGTGCTTGTTTCGGTTACATCGTACATGATACCAATAACTCTGAAGAAATATGGCACGATCGTATCCACCTGCTGCTATACATACTCAAGCTTCGTTTGGGCGGCCTATGTGGCAAACCTTTGTGTCGAAATGTCTGAATCAAATCCTTGAATTATTTCGCATGGCGTTGTGTCGTATCTTCCAATCCCGGTTGTATCTGGAAGCCGTCCTCGATAAAAGCCATTTCCTCTTTCGTGCATTGCCATTGGGATTCCTTGATCCTTTCGCCTTGCCTGTGAAACTGGCGTGCTTCCTTCATGTGCTGGCCCTTCTTCACTTTGTAACGTGCACATGCTAACCCATCAGACAAAATCTTTCAACTGGCCATTGTACTTGACGATTTCTTTGTGAAGGTCACTGGGGAGTTTCATGGGTTTCGCGCTGAGGCCCACGATTGCTCGCGCCAATTGGGAGAGAACTCAAGTCGGATCGCCCGAGCCTGCTATAGGAAACCCATCCGCCCCAGGCTGTTGAGGTGGCTGCTCAAACTGTTGTTGAACTTGCTGCTGATGAACATGTTGTTGGAGTTGAACTTGCTGCTGAACCTGTTCCTGGGGTACGCGCTGCAAGTGTTGAGGAATAAGCGGAGGAGGAAGACTCTGGCGACTTGCACTAGCTTGACCTCGGTACCTGCCGCCCAGAGCATTGAAACTATACCAAAAACTGATTGGGATTTTGCCAGGCGTGGGTGAGCGCTGAGCGGTGACGATCCCGTGACCTCCCTCGGCTTGCGTCACCATCCAGAAGCCAACTCGAATCCCCCATGTTTCTGTGAGAACTTCGTGAAGCTGACAACCACTAGGTACGCGTCGAATTTGCTAAATAGCCAGACCCCCGAGCTTGTTTTACAGTACACAGTTCGAGACGCCGCCTAGTGAATGCAACGCGTTTCGAGGACAATAAGCCCCCATCTGTATGCATGGGCCCACATGCATATCGCGCGGTGCACGCATACAATACACACATGCACAGTGAGGCAAAATGCGACTGCGACGGATTGCACAACTGGGAGCATCAGCATCCTCATCCTCCTCCTACTCCTCCTCATCCTCTTCCTCGTCCTCCTCCTCCAACGTATCCTTTTCCTCCTCCTCATCATCATCAACATCATCATTATCAGCAGCCGCCATCATCATCACCATCATCATCATCATCATCATCATCAGCATCATCATCATCATGATTACCATCATCGTCACCATCAGCATCACCATAATCAGCATCATCATCATCATCAGTATCATCATCATCATCATCAGCATCATCATCATCATCATCAGCAGCAGCATCAGCTTCATCATCATCGTCATCATAATCATAGTCAGCATAATCATCATAATCATCATCATCCTCATCAAAATCATCATCATCATCATCATCAGCATCAGCATCAGCATCAGCATCAGCATCATCATCATCATCATCATCATCATCATCATCATCATCATCGAGTCATCCTTCTCCTCCTCCCCCTCCTCCTCCTACTCATTCTTCTCCTCCCATTCGTCCGTCTCATTCCCCTCCTCATCGTTCTCCTCTCTCAACCGTGCGGCTCCGCCAAACGCGTCTGTGGGCTGGGCATCTCTGTTCCCCCCTGTCACACCCTTAGACATGTGGGTCAGGCGGGCTGGGCATTTCGCCTGAGACTCTCTGACCGCTTGAAGCTTCGCGTGGGCGGGCGTTTCGCCTGATCCCGAAGCTTGGAAATCGCGACAGCTTCGAGGATGAAGGGGGGTGGCTTTTCAAGTGGAGTTTTCTCAACAGCGCCACGCCAATTCGTCTTAAACGCTTACAACAGCAAGAAGGATGGAGGAAGGATCCTCAAAATTGAGCTATCGCCCTAGCACCGTGCAGATTCGTCTTCAACGCTCGGACAGCTACAAGAATCGAGGGGATAGTTTTCAAGATGTGGCTCTTGCCTAAGCGCCGAGCACATTCGTCTTAAAAGCTTGCAGCAGCTGCAAGGATGGAGGGGGTGACGTTCACCCATGCGTTCGGGCATTAGCGCCACGCACATTCGTCCCAAAAGCTTGCAGCAGCTACAGGAATAGCAGCTACAGGAATATAGAGCGGCTCGCGCCTCACACGTCGTCGCCCAAGACCTCGACGCGCAGCCCAGACGAGCAGGACAGCCGGGGAAGCAGGGCAGCCCAGAGCCAGACGGAGTTAGGGGCAGCCAGGGACGGCGGCTTGCGGCGGGCAGCGCCAGCCTTGCCCCGCTGGCCCAGCAGGTGCCAGCGTGCGCGCAGAGCGCTACCCGCCAAGGCAGGGCCGAGGAGGCCCAGGACTGAATGTGCACCGCCCTGCGGCTGGTATGCGGGCGGGGGACCCACATGCCTCGTGGAGACCCGCGCTGCAGGTCGGCGGTGGCCTCATGCTGTCAGGGAGGCGCTGGTGGCGGGGGGGAGAGAGGGGGGGGAACTGCACCAGGAAGCTGGAAGCACACGTCGCTGGATTCGTGTGGGACATTCGGGTCGGGCGCAAGGGGGGGATAGCAAAGGGGGGGTTGAGAATCAGCTCACGTAGCTGATTTTCCCAGCGCCTTCCGGCGCCGGAGGCGGCTATGTATCGAGGAACGGGCCCCTCGGTGAGGCCGAAACCAGCTGCATGCAGCAAATTTCGTAACCCCCCCTTTCCCAATCCCCCCCTTTCGCCAGGCCCGAGACATGTGGAGGCCCCGCGCTGGATGCGTATGGGGAGGGCTGGCGCAACCTGGCCAAAGAGGGTCGAGCGCTGGAAGAGCATGCGGCCACGAGCGTGCGTACGAACCGTTCTGGTCGGCCGCGTCATGCGTATCCAGCTTCCTGGTAAGGAGACGGCCGCCAGGAGCTTCCGGCGGTGCGCGGCGGTGCGCGGCGCTTCAGCCCCCTCATTGACTCCCCAGAAGCAGCGCTTGCACTCAACCGCGCCACGGGCCTGGCACGGCAACCCAGCATGAGGAGGAGGAGGATTAGGACGAGGAGGGGGGAGAGAAGAGGGAGGCAAGCGTTTCATTCAAGGTCCTCACAGTCCGCAGCAGCTTGGGCCCATCCTAAAAGCAGTCCGCGAGGTCGAGCAGTGCTTACGAGGCTCCAGCGTTGGAAGAGGGTCGCATGACATCGGCAGAAAAAGAGGTGGCAATGAGCGCTGGATATAAAAACAGAAGACCAGCCGATGGTCTCGACTCAACCGATGATGATGACTCCCCCGCGACAACATCAAAACGAGACGCGAAAACGCGTCCTTGCACGCGCACCTGCACCCCCTCCTCCTCCTCGTCCTCCTCGTCCACAGCCGCGACTCCACATGATCCCCGCCCTCCTCGCGCGACCCCCTCCTCGCATGCCCTTGCGCTGCCCACTGGCCGCCAGGCACCCATCAGCGGACGCTGGCGGTCTGCAGGAGGTCCAAAGTCCTCTGGCACTGGAGCCGCGGCGCCGCCGCGGCGGAATGGTCGTCCAGCCCGAGCAGTCCGCCCACCGGAAGCGCCAGCGTGCGCAGGCCGCGCACGAAGATGTTCAGGTACTCGGCGCCGCGCGAAGTACGGCCCCAGACCACCTTGACGCCGAGGGCACCGTACTGCTGCCAACCTGCAGGCGCCCCGGTCTGGTGGCCGCTGCGGTAGGAGGTGGCAGCGAAGCCCTCGGCCCAGAGCCCCGTGATGTTGATGCCCTTCATGTACATGTCGCCGCACGAAGGTCCGTCCGCCTGCACCTCTGCCACCACCCTGAGCAGGACGCTCTGGATGCCGATCGCGCCCTGCGGCACCACGAGGAGGGCGTGCCTCCCAGGCTGCATGATATCGAACTTCTGGCCAAGCACGTTGACCAAGTGCGGGTCGCCCGTTGCGGAGGGCGGCGCGGCGCCTCCGGGGGAGGGCTCTGGGTATGCAGGGCCTGGCGTCGGGGAGGCGGCAGGCCCTGGCATCATGGAGGACCCTCCCGCGGTGGGGCTTGGCGTCGCCAATGAGCCTCCCGCCGTAGGGCTCGGCGTCGGCGAGGGGCTTCCCGCGGTGGGGCTCGGCGTCGAGGGGACGGCAGAGGTCGGCGTCGGGGAAGGGCCTCCCGCGGTGGGGCTCGGCGTCGATGGCGAAGGGCTTCCCGCGGCGGGGCTCGGCGTCGGGGAGGGGCCTCCTGCCGTAGGGCTCGGCGTCGGGGAGGGGCCTGCCTCAGTGGGGCTTGGCGTCGGCAAGGGGCCTCCCGATGCGGGGCTCGGCGTCGGCGAAGAGCCTCCCGCCGTAGGGCTCGGCGTCGGCGAGGTCCCTCCCGCGGCAGGGCTGGGCGTCGGGAAGAAGCCTCCCGATGTGGGACTCGGTGTCAGCGAGGAGCTTCCCGATGTAGGGCTCGGCGTCGATGATGATGAACCTCCCGCGGTAGGGCTCGGCGTCGGCGAGGAGCCTCCCGCCGTAGGGCTCGGCGTCGGCGAGGAGCCTCCCGCCGTAGGGCTCGGCGTCGGAGAGGCACCAGAGCCTCCGGCGGTGGGGCCTGGCGTCGGCGAGGAGCCTCCTGATGGGTCCGGCGTCGGCGACGGGGTACGCGTGCGCGTACCGCAGCCCCCGTCGTCGTCCACACAGGCGCAGCTGTCGCCGTGGCAGAGCCCCGTGGGGTTCGGGGTGGCGTAGGACTTGCTCCAGCACGGACTGGGGTCCCAGCCGATTCGGTTGATGCCGCTCTTCTGCACGAGGCAAGAGGTGTCCCCAACAGCTCCATGATATAGCTTGTACGGGAGCGCTGGTGAACCAGTGACGGTGAGTGAGCGAGTTTGCCGCCTCCTAAAAGCCGACTCCGGGCCCTTTAAAAACATCTTCAAGTCTGCGCGCCGGCGCCTCCCCGCCATTGCAAAGTACTGCACCTCTATGGAATAATTAGCCACGCTCAGGGGAACCGTGGCCGAGTTGCACATACTGAGGGTCGGGTTCCCGCATGACCTACAATCAAGATCTCCATAATCCGCCACCGCGTTTGCAGCGATTGGCTTGTATGTAAGTATGTAATTATGTAAGTATGTAAGTAAGTACGTACGTACGTAAGTAAGTAAGTAAGTAGGTAAGTAAGTAAATAAGTAAGTATGTATGTATGTATGTATGTATGTATGTATGTATGTACATGTATGTATGTACATGTATGTATGTATGTATATGTGTATATAATTGTATGTATGTGTGTATACGTATGTATGTATGTATGTATGTATGTATGTATGTATGTATGTATGTATGGTTGTATGTATGGTTGTATGTATGTGTGTATGTATGTATGTATGTATGTATGTGTATGTGTATGTGTATGTATGTATGTATGTATGTATGTGTGTATGTATGTATGTATGTATGTATGTATGTATGTATGTATGTATGTATGTGTGTATGTATGTATGTACCTATGTATGTGTGTATGCGTATGTGTATGTGCAGGTGGGTGTGAATGTGAATGTGTATGTGTTCGTGTGCACGCATGTATGTGCATATGTGTGTATGTGTATATGTGTATGTGTATCTGTGTATATGGGTATATGTGTATATGTGTATATGGGTAGTGCGTGTGCGTGTGCGTGTGGGTCTGCGTGTGCGTGTGCGTGTGCGTGTGCGTGTGCGTGTGCGTGTGCGGGTGCGTGTGCGTGGGTGTGGGTGTGTGTCTGTGTCTGTGTCTGTGTCTGTGTCTGTGTGTGCCTGTGTCTGTGTCTGTGTCTGTGCCTGTGTCTGTGCTGTGTCTGTGTCTGTGTCTGTGTCTGTGTCTGTGTATGTGGCTGTGGCTGTGGCTGTGCCTGTGCCTGTGTCTGTGTCTGTGGCTGTGGCTGTGGCTGTGGCTGTGGCTGTGGCTGTGGCTGTGGCTGTGCCTGTGTCTGTGTGTGTGCGTGTGTGTGTGTTTGCGTAAGTGTGTGCGTGCGTGCGTGCATGTGTGTGGTGTGTGTGCTGTGTGTGTGCGTGTGTGCGCGTGTGCGTGTGTGTTTGTGTGTGTTGTGTGTTGTGGGTGTGCTGTGTGTGTTGTGTGTGTTGTGTGTTTTGTGTGTGCGTGCGTGCGTGTGTGTGTGTGTTTGTGTGTGTTCGTGTGTGTGTGTGTTTGATTGTGCGTGCGTGTGCGTGTGCGTGCGCATGCTCGTATGCGTTCGCGTGCTCGCGCGTGTATGTGTGTATGTGCGTGCACGTGTGTGCGCGTCTGCTGTGTGCGAGGGGCTCGGTTATGTGTGTGCGTTGTGTGTCTGGCCTGGTCCGCGCGCTCTCCGCTTGATCTGCGCTACGCCGCGTCGTCGCGCGCGTGGCCCTGACGTCAAAGAAGTGTGCGTTGTGTGTATGTTGTACTGTGTGTATGCTCTGTCGTGCGTGTCCGGTGTGGATGTGTGTTGTATGTTGTGTGTGTGCGTGTTGTGCGCGCCTTGCGTGCATGGTGTGTGCGTGGTGTGTGTGTTGGGTTGTGCGTGCTGTGTGTGTGCCGTGTGCGTGTGTTATGTGCGTTGCGTTCTCTGTATGATGTGTTTTATGTGTGCTCTGCATTATGTGCGTCGTGTGTTGTGCGTTGTATGTTGTGTGATGTGTGTTGTCTTGTGCGGTGTGGTGTGTGTATGTCTTGTGTGTTGGGTTGTGGTGTGGGTTGAGTGTTATGTCTTGTCTGCTGTCTGTTATGCGTGTGTTGTGTTGTGTGATGTGTCTGTGTGTTGTGCTTTGTATGTGCGCGCGCATGCGCGCGTGTAAGCGTGCACTCGTGTGCAGGAGTGCAAGTGTGCTGATGTGCAGGTGTTCGCGGGTGAGTGCGGGTGTATGTGTGCGCGTGTACGTGGTGCGCGTGTGGGTAGTGTGCGTGTGCGCGTGCGCGTGTGCGTGTGCGGGTGCTCTATCTGCCAACCGCGCCTGAGTTTCCTCTGCGCTGCCTACTTAAAAAGCGTGCGCAGGTGCGTGCGCGTGTGCGTGTGCGTGTGAATGTGCGTGTACGTGTGCGTGTGCGTGTGCGTGTGCGTGCGCATGTACGTGTGCGTGTGCGTGTACGTTTGTGTGTGCGTGTGCGTGTGCGCGTGCGTGTGCGTATGCGTGTGCGTCTGCGCGTGTGTGTCAAGCCCTTCCTTCATTCGCTAGTTTCTCGTCCTGCGGGGCCATATCTGGGGGGGTCGACGCATCGAGCCCAACGTGCGATCGTTCAATCTGTTTGGCCAAATCCACTACATTTTTGCCCTCCCAGCAAAAAATTATGCCAAATTTAAAAAAGCCCTAGGGAAGACGTGCGTGGATCCTCGACCCCCTCGGGCGCCCACCCCCGCCCAACTCCAGACCCTCCCTCCTGCCGGCACCCGCCCGAGCGCAGTGGCTGACTCACGCGGCAGCGCAACCAACTAAAGCGAATTCAGATTGATGATCTCCGCACCGTTGAGGAACATCTTTGAGCCGTCTTTAGAATGGAGGCTGAACGTATGGTCTCCCGCGGTCGTCACCTCCATGGTCGTGGTGATCCGGACGCCGTGGTTGTGGACGTCCCTCAGCCGGCGGCGACTGAAAGCTGAACCGCAGACCCCAGCGCCGTCAGATATGTAGCCACTTCTGACATAGATGAACTCACACGTGAGCATTGCATCGGTCCACACGCTGGGCACATGATCTGGAATCGAGCTGGTGCACTCGTCGATCGCGTAGAACCTGTAGTGCAGCCCCCACGCTCGATCCCAGACCCATGCCCTCCGTGGGCTCGCTTCGGAGTCTACTCCATTAACAGGCTCGAGCTCCTCCTCGCGCAAGCTCATCTCCTCCACCTCCTCCTCCGCCCCCTCCGCCGTCCCCTCGCCTCCAATAAAGTCCAAAGTGGCGTTGGCAGATCGAGGGAGCGCTCCGCCAGCCACAACTGCGCCATCCTGCGGCGGCGACGTCCGGCCACGAGGGCGGAAATGGGCGCTGGCGCCGAGCGTCGAGAAAGCCACCAGCCAGGCGACAGAGAGGCGCACAAGCCCTCGTAAGGCGATCGAGACATATGCACAAAACATGCGATGTGAACGTCACGTTTACTCGAGTGTTCTGGAGCGAGGCTCGCATGAGCTCAGGTAGCTTGGGCCAAGATTGGTATGGATGCGCTGCCTTCCCCTCTGACTGCCCTTTCAATGGCTACTGGGTGGCCCGAGCTCTATGGGTGGCCAGCGGCGAGCGGCGGCGCGTGGCGGTACGAGCCCCTCTGAGCAAGACCGATGGGGTCCCACACGATAGGGTCGCACACCGCACAATCGGTTCCCACACCGTAGGGGCTCACACCACAGGGTCGAACGCGATCGGGTCGCACATGATAGAGCCACTCAAGATGGGGCTCCACACGATCGGATGCTGAACGGTCGGGTCTCGCACAATGGGGTCCCACACAGAAAGGTTCCACCATAGTTGGCCCCACACGACAAGGCCCCACGGAGATCCCCCTCTTTGAAGAGGAAAGGGCAGGAGGAGACCCGTCCACGGCCCTTACCGATACCCGGCGCCCATTACTGGATCTGTTGCTGCGCGGGGCCGCCCGCCGCCCTCCTGTGCCACGTCGCCTTTGTTTTTCCCATATGTTTCGTGGGGTTCTGGTTTTCTTCCCACCCGCGTCGCACCCGTGTCTTCCTCACCTCCCGCCTCCCCCTTTCTCCTCCTCCTCGTCCTTCTTCCCTTCGCCCACACGCAACACATGCACTGCACGTGCATCAGACACGCGTCTACATGCAGCCGCACGCATGCACACACTCGCACACACTCGCACACACACACACACACACACACACACACACACACACAACATACACCATACAACACTAGTGCACGCCTGGCGTGTTCATAGCCCAAGACGTATGCACAACATATTGGGCACCCACTTGAGGCACACGTGCCGATACGGCCGCACACGCATGATACACATACACATCACACGCCATACACAAATCGCACGTGTAGGATGCGCAGGGCACGGCAGGCATGGCACTTTCTCAACACCAGAGGGAGTGCGTTGGGGGTGGTCCCTGAACGCGGTGTATGTCTACGACACTGTCGCAAAGCCTAGCAGGCGTGGCATGTTCGACACAATCGGGGGTGCGCACGAGGTGGTCCCTGAGCGTGGCCGCTATCCGTGCTGGTCGTCCAGGGCGTAGCAGGCGTGGCACTTTCCCGACACCATGGGGGGTGCACACAGGGTGGTCCCTGAGCGCGGCCGCTATCCGTGCTGGTCGTCCAGGACATGGCAGGAGTGGCACTTTCTCAACACCATAGGGGGTGCGCACGAGGTGGTCCCTGAGCGCGGCCGCTATCCGTGCCGGTCGTCCAGGGCATAGCAGGCGTGGCACATTCTCGACGCCATACGGGATGCGTAGGGGGTGGTCTCTGAGCGCGGCCGCTATCCGAGCTGGTCGTCCAGGGCATAGCAGGCGTTACATACTCTCGACACCACAAGGGGGCGCAGGGCGTGGCCTCTGAGCGCGGCCGCTATCCGAGCCGGTCGTCCAGAGCGTAGCAGGCGTGGCACTTCTCGACGCCATAGGAGGGTTGCAGGTCGTGGTTTCTGAGTGCGGCCGCTATCCGAGCCGGTCGTCCAGGGCGGAGCAGGCGTGGCATATTCTCGGAACCTTAGGAGGTCCGCAGGTGGTGGTCTCTGAGCGCGGCCGCTATCCGCTCAACAGGCGTGGCACCTTCTCGACACCATAGGGGGTGCGCAGGGAACGGCCACCAACATCATTCTCACATGCTTCACTTCAGCTATCATCACTCCAACCATAATATAAGTATGTGGGGTTCCTCGGTAGCGTAATTCTCTGGCGGCTGCTGCCTCTGTTTACAAGGCATCCCTCCTCATTCCCTGCTTGCCACTGGCTCGGCGACCTCTGGCATCCACGGCGGACTGGTGCAAAAAGAGAGGGAAAGGGGAAGAGGCAGGAGGGAGGAGGGGGAGGAAGGAGGGAGGAACGAGGGAGGAGGGAGGAAGGAGGGAGGGAGGGAGGGAGGAGGGAGGAAGGAGGGAGGAGGGAGGAAGGAGGGAGGGGGAGCAGAGGGGAAACTGGGGGGAGGAGGTGCGGGCGAGCAGCGACTGCAGCAGCAGCCGCGGCCAAAAGAGCGCTTCCTCACGGCAGTCCCCAAAGCAGCGACCAGGCCAGCGGCGGCGGCGGACCGCCTGTGCCCCGCGATGACGCTCCTCCTCTCCCTTTTCTGCCTCCTCCAGGAGGGGGAGAGGGAAAGAGGGATGGAGGGGACGGGGGGGGACGAACCTGGTCCTGGTGGCCACCCACCTCAAGGGCGCGTGCTGGGGTTGCGGAAGACTGAGGGAAGGAGTGAGGAGGGAGGAGAACAACCAGTCGTTGTTTTGCCTTGGCCGCCAGAATTCTTCGCGGGAGTGCGGGCAAACATGTTGCTGCGATCCAGGGCACTCACTATCAGGGCAATGCTGCGTTCCTGTCCACCTAATCTTCTACGGGAAGGATTTTTTTATCGAGAAAGGATACCCAGGGGATGCGAACTGTGGACAAAGGAGCTTCTCTCGCAAAGAAGGCCGGAAGCATTGTCACGTATGCTGGGGCCGCTGCGGTCAGAAAGAAAGGTCTGAGCTGTAAGGCCTGACAGCATTTGGAAGCCGATCCTTTAGGATTGAAGCAACCGTTCCGATTCGGAAAAGCAGAAACGGGCATCCCCGAGCCACGCACGACCAGATTGAGACGCACACGCAGAGACCATTCGCTTAGATTGGGTCTGATAAGGAGCTGCCAATTCAGCAGCCAATAGAAAATTACACACAGAATGTGTCTGCACCTCCCAGCGGTTAGCACGCCACGTAACGTCGATGGGTGTCCCAACTAGGCTTTCCCATTAACCTGACTACGCCACTGCCACCCGCGACAAGGCCGGCAGGCACGACGGGTTCACAGACGACGCGTGCAACGCGGCCCCAGCAGAACTGGCTCCACAGATCCACCCAATGATGATCACTTCCGCTGATCTGGGTTTGCACCCTTGGTTTTACAGGGAGCGTCGTGGTGAAGCCTTCACGGGGAAATGGAGGCCACGAAGATCTGGGCAACGTGATTCCGGCAAATCACCACCGATTACCAAGGGGGCTTCAAAGGGGGGGGCCAGCCAAAAGCCTTCGGGACACCCCGCGCGGCGGCCCGCCCCTCACGGAAGCGAACCACCCCGCGCACACAAGCTCTTGCACGGACGGCGCCGACAGAGCACCAGCAGCGCTCGACGATTATTGCATCTGTCGGTCAGCGCCGAAAGTCGGTCCCCGGCCTGCCGCGATACCCTACAAAGGCCCATAGATACTTTCTTGCAGACAACTGCCCCGTTCCGGCTGCCTTTAAAGCATGGTCTGAAGGCCGCGCATGCTGAAGCTCCTCTTTGGAATTCGCTCGCGAGGACGCGCGCCTCCAGGCGGCGGGAGACGCGCGCACTTCCGCGAAAAGTCCTGCTTCTGGGACAGGGGCCCATTCTGACAGTGAGGATCAGCCCCATGGGCTTGCGAATGACGCTTGGAAATCGATAGCCGCGCTTGCGCTCGGGAGGGCGGCCATCAGACGTGCGAGCGCGCGATTCGTCTGGCCTGCCCCCCCCGGCGCGCGCGGCCCGCGCCCCTGGGCCACTCGGAACCCAACTCGGCGATTCGGAATCCTGGGGGCCAGGGAGGCAGCCCGAAAAGTGCCACGCAGCGCAATCACCTGGACAACGCCCAGGCACTAGTCCGGGCCACCAACGGCCTCGCGTCTCACGCGCGCAGACCCCCTTGCACTGAGCGCGCTAACTGTCACGCGTGACGAATGGGAGCCCAAAATGATGAGGCATTGACTGGATTGACGTAGACACTTTGCTCGGCCCCGATCCCTCGCGCGGGCATTCCCACGCGGGCCTGTCCCCAACGCCGCCCTCAACGCCTCCACTCACGTCCGCTACCCCGCTACGTCGCGCCACGCATGAAGACGCCAGCGAATTAGGCCGATGTCGCTTATTCTGGGATCGCCACTGCGCGCGCAGCACGGACGCATCCGGCAAAACACCCAACGCACATTTGTCCCGCGCCCGCCGCAATATCAATGGCAACGAGAAGTAAAAAACAACAAACAATAAGAGACTAGAAAGAGGTTGCGCCGCGCGCATTTGTCACCTCACCGCATACAAACACGGCGTCGTTGATTGGTCACGCTGCCGCATCTGTCTAGTATGTGCGCAACGGCGGGATCAACCCGTCCAGACTCGAGTTTGTTCCAAGAAACCCCATGCTTCTTCCCTGCATCATCAGGAAGTGGCGCCACTTCAACCTGCGATCTACCCCTCAACTTCTGAGCCGCGGCCACGGAGACTTCCCCGCGCCTTCCGTTGCCAGAACACCATGTGGAGACGTCGGTGGGGCACTTGAACCCGGCAGTGAGACATGTGCAACGCCTGCGGGCAGCGGGCCCGCTGTCCCCTCTTCTCCCGCCGCTGAGCGACGCGCCCCAGGTGCGCCCCGTTCGCGGGGATCGACGCGCGTCGGAGCGGAGACCTCAGCAGTTGAATTCAGCATGCCTGGACTAACTGCGCGTCGAGGCCAGATGCGGAAGCACACCTCCGAAGTGCCGAGCGAGAGCTTGCCCCCGCGGTCGACGACGGCGTTGTTGACGTCCGTAACACAAGCAAAGAAAAGACCAAGTGCTGCACCCGCCAGCCCAGTGCAAATGGGCGCTGCAAATGGAGTTGATGAAAGACCACGCGCGACGACTTTGACTTCACATGCACCGAGAGAAAGGCTCATAGAGAATTAGATGGAAAGTTCCACGCCGAGAGAACAGACTCGCGAAGACGCTGGATAAAGGCCACGACGACCACGCCGAGACTGGACACTGGAACCCTAGTCGCAACTTCAACTGGGAAGCCACGAGACAAGCGAAGCTCGAGCCGACATGGCTGAGCATGCCCCAGCGTTTGCCCCCAGCCCTGCACGTCCTCGCACACGCGTTATTGGCCAGCTAACTTTATATAACATGGTCTCTCTCGCGATTCAACGACAGCGAAGAGGGCGATTTGCACGTTGAACTCCATGAGGCGCTTTGCTCCCACTTGGCTCGACACCAGACGTCGCCCACATGGCGTCAGTAGAGCTGGAGCCAGCCAGGCCTTCTCAAGCATGAGCGGGACGTTCTCGCAGCGCTCTGGCCGCGCCCTCCTGCGAAGGCACCGCGTCGAGGCCTCCCGAGATGGGCAGCGCGCCTTTGCTGCGCCCCCCGGTTTCAGGCTGGCTGCCCATGGGCCCCGAGGACACGCGCCGTCAAAACGCGCGCCAAGGTCGACGACCCGATCGCCTGGACGACGGCCGCGCTGCGGGAAAGCTGCAGGGCCCAGTATCACGCCAGATGGTAGGCTACATATATCTGCATCATCCGAAGGCGCGCTTTTCGAGGGGGCCCGACGTCGGGGGGGGGCATCGCACATTCACACGGCGCCACGAGCTGGAGTGCGGGCCACGCGCACACGACCCCAAAGAGTTCACAGCACGGCACAAACACGCAGGGAGCGGATGAAGAGAGGGAGGAGGCACGACCCCCGGACTCCCGAGACACCCCATCTCATGGGCGCGCAGGACAGTGGGCCAACACACGCGGGGTTCTGCCCGCCCCAGGTCCTGCCGCCCCCCCTCTCCCCCTACTCCTCCCGCACTCGACTTCCATGGACGAGCGCTTTCCACTGCTCGCGAAGTCACTACTCGCGAATGGCCTGGGTCCGCCGCTGGTATCCACGGTAAATATCGTCGAAACGAAAATATGTTTTTGTTATCGGACGATTGCGAGCAGGCACTTTGCGAATAGTGGAGCGCGCTCGGCGATTCCAGCCTCGGCTGGACGCACTCTGGCCCCGCGGCCGGGGCACGGGCGCGGGCCGGGGCGCCGGGGCCCAGGCGCGCGCTCCACCCATGGCCATTTTCACGCAGAGAACATAACGCCCCCTCCGCCCCTTCCCCCGCGCCAGGGGCCGCGCCGACCATGCGCGGCAGGCGCGGGGGGCACGCCCCCAGGGGGGCCAATCTAATGCGACGACGTCGGGCGTCGAGGGCGCGGGGCACACGCGTCGAGCGGTACACGAGCGTCTGAAAGCGAACGGCTCAGCACTGGCGAGCGACCCCATTGCTCAGCAAACTCAAGAGGCACTCAAAAAAAATCGGCACATCTCCCGCGCCCCCCGGCACCGCGTTCCGACTGGCGGCCTTCGCCCAACACGTTGAACTCGCATTGAAGGCTCTTTCATCGAGACGCCCGTGCTCATCGATCTGATCTCGCGCACCCTTGGCGAGGAGATACAGTCACGCATGCTTCCGACAAGTGGGGCCCAGCCCAGCGAGGGGGCCCGAGGGCGCGCGCGCGCGGCGAAGCCACCTGACCCGAGACCCCATCGAGGAGAGGGACCCCCTATCACTGCCACCTCGACAGCGCCCCTGCGGTCGGCCCGAATTCCAAAACAAAACATCCAGAACAGATTAATCAGACACTACTGCAACACTCGAGGCAGCTCAACTGGCCCCTGGAGAACATAATAGAAGGCCCCCGGCGATCAGGTGCGCCACCGAAAACTGCGCCACTCATTAAAACTTGGAGCCGCTGAGCCCCCCCCCCCGTTCGCGCCTGACAGAGCAAGGGTCTCTGCCGCGACTACGCTAGATACCGCTCTCTTGATCCCCGGCGACCTCCACGCCATGACGCTAACTCTCGTCCTTCGATTCTCCCTAGTGGCCGAGTCGGCCGCCGCGATTAACGCAGCTCCCCAGGCCATCTACCCCCCAGCACCGCCGAGTCCCCCAGCGTCGCTCGCGGCGACAAACGCCACGGAGGCGGGGTCGAGAGCCCAGATCGCGAGACGCCGGAGCGCCCATCCATAATTCAACAACCTCGACGCGAGCAACAACGCCCGCCGCCAACGGGCGAGGAAGAGCAGCTGCCAGGAGCGAAGCCGACCCCGCCACATCTGGACGGGAACCCCGCGCCAGCACTTGCACTAGAGCGGCGATTGCGCCCCTCGCAATCGACCCCCCCCCTCCACTTCCCAGATTTAGAGGCGCTCACAGCGAGCAGTCCGCAAGGTCGCCACCGGCGTCTATTTCCCCGCAACAGTGAGATCGCCCACTCCGATAAGAACTACGGCTTCCAGCCCACCGAG